CATCAGACCAGGACGGATTGGACTGTCACATCTGCTCATTGTCCCAGTGGAGACTAGAGGTTAACTCTGTCCCATCAGCTACACATCTTAAACATCGAACTTGATTTTCATGTGCGTTCTGTCAGAGTCATCTTTACAGCGATGCGTGAAACGAGCTCTTCGGTGGGACTGCACCGCCTCGGTTCCTTCTGGGACCCTGAAGCGCCCGGTCGCCCTTTCACCGCTTAAACTTTCTTCATTTGCCTGAGATCCATGCGACGCACTGCATGCTGGGATCATCCCACAAAGGCAGGCTCTTTCAGGAAGGCTCTGACCCAGTTGCGAAACTGTCTCAAAGTTGATTAAAAAGCTTCCAAGAGCTGACAGCTTCCTTTGTTTTCCTGTCAGGTTCTTTTACAAATCACCCCTCTAGCAAGTTCTTTACTGACCTGTCAGGTTTTTTTCATGTTACGACTGAATGTCGCCTAATATTGCACACGTTTCAACAAAGGGAAACATAAACATGTTTGATTGACCAAAGCTACTTGCACTAGAGCAACAGCCATCATGCCTTCTGTAACAATTTTCAATTCAGAGGTGCAGAGACAGGTAACATAGATTCATTTAAAACGTGTCAATCTTAAAGGGACAGGAGTACTGTAGTGTTGCTCTGCAGGTTGTTGAGAATAACCTTGTAGCAGCTTTCCACATATTCGAGGAAGCAGAAATTCAACCGTGTCAAACTGCCGAATCAAAACTGAAAAGACAAATGGAAAGACCCAACACACATCTGTGAAATTACCAGAGGCTACAATCGCACATCCGTCCACCTCGCAGGCAAAGAGATCAAAATCACTAACCCCGACTCCGAGTACAGAATCTAATCAGGATCTAAATCTTGTGTTTAGTCCAGCTGAGGTGATCGTGTCTGGTCGGCACAGTTCATTTTCGTGACATTTACAAAAGACGTGCAAGCTTCTCTTGTAGCCGTCACAGCATAAAGAACAGGCAGTAGAAGAAAGCTGACATTCCTGCATATTAAAGAAGATAGTAGTGTGTTTTGGTAACACACGGAGAGGCTAAAAATAACGTGTTAAAACCCTAAATGTATGAGGTACTATTTTCAATTCAACCTTTTCTCACTTCATCGCAGCAATGTGTTCACATATGGTTAAAAAATAGTCAATTTTCCAGCTCCAAAGCTTTGATAGAAAGATAAATGGTGCAAACATAGACAGCCATTCAGTTTTTTTTATGGATGTGTCATCAAAGAGTCCAGATGATTAAAAAAAACACTTCTAGTCGAGAACATGTTGTGCTTATCCTCCTTTTATCATCCAACGATGATGCACTTTCTTTTTTGAAGCTTTTAGTTAGAGTCTCCTTCTCATTTTCTCCTTGCGTGAAAAACAAAAACAAACAGCCAGCAGGGATTTGGAAGGGTGAGAGATTTAAGGTAAGCCAACAGGAAGCCTTACAGCTGAGGCTTTTCTGTTTAAAGAGGCAGGCAATTGAAGGACGAGAAAAGTGCTGGTGGGTTGAATCCCTGCAGAAAAAAAAGAAAACAGAATAATATGAAACAAAGAACTGTCAGCTTTTATTAAAGACTTAAAAAAACAAGTTGAAAATCACCTTGGTTAAGCTGTGACTCAGCTCAGATGTGTGTCTCCACGTCAGTGTAACCAGGCAGGAGGTCTCCGTTGAGGCAGCTCTTGGGTTCCCCTGCTGGCGAGGCGGCGGGCAACATGCAGGAGGCCGTCTCCTCCGGCGGCGCATGGCCTCGCTGCAGCCTGCGGTGTATCAGGGGCACAAAGAACAGCACCATGCCCCCAACCATGGGAGGGACCCCCGCCAGGGAGAAAGCCACTGTGTAATTGCCAAAGAAATCACGAAGAATACCTGTGGAGTCAGAGGAGGAGACCTCGTGTTATTCTCCCTTTTTGTGTTTTACACGTTGCCCTGTCAACTTTACTTGGTTTTTCACTTGTTCCCAGAATTTTGGTCCAAAAATATTGAAACATTTAAGCTCTGTTTTGCGTTGTCTTTTATTTAATAAAGAAAAAACTTAATTTACTTGGAATTTAAAGCAATAACATCTCTCCAATCCTTTCCCCCAGTCTTCGTGGACACATTTCTTTGTTATGAAACATTTTTTTTAGTTTTTTTTTCTTGCATTTCCCACACATTCTTTGATGGAGGTGAGCCCTCCTCCTCAAACAGCTATCTCTTTGTTTTGTGTAAAATGTTGTTTTACTGTAAAAAGTGAACAAACCACTGTGAGGAAAACATCTTGAAGGAAGTTAATGTTTGTGAGAGGGCACTGATATTTTTGATGACTTTTGACACAGATGTTAAAAAAATAATATTTGATATTGATTATTATTATATTATTATTATTATTGATATGTAATATTTGATTTACTGTTTTATTTGAGGTTACAAAGGCTGAAAAAAGAAAAAGAACGATGCATAACAAAAAAAGGGTATCCAGTTCGTGGATGTATGAAAAGAGCAAAACAATGTCTGAATCATAGGGTTGTGTGGTTGTTATTTGAGAGATGAAGATAAGAGCAGCTCATCTGATGGGAGCTGAGTGCTGACTTCAGGACTTATACGAAGCTTTTTTCCTGAACACAAATCCCTGGAGACAGACGCATTTGGCCACAAGCCCAAACATCTATAAATACAGTCCACAGTGTAATCTATCCTGCTGCATATTTGTCCTACGCTCTGTTTACCATCAACAGCATTTCTTCCCCTCTCGATTATTCTGTCAATCTCAATCAGCTTTGGTGTGTACTGTTGTCGCCGTGCAGTTTCTAGAGTTAGGAAATCACCTAAAGCAGTCAAATAAATTTTAAAAGGAAAAGTCATTCTTACCAGCGATGGGTGGACCTGCGGTCATGGGGACAGCCATGAGGCCTAGAAGGTAGCCTATGGCCTGTGACGCCTGCATGGGCCCAACCAGTTCAAAGGCTATGGGAGCCATCATGGTGAGAAAGCAGCCGTCGCAGAGCCCCAAGAACACGCACACGGTCACGAGCGCCTCAAACGCCGTGCACTGAGGGATCAGTATGGACATCAGGCCCAGGACTATAAAGGACACCACCTGTAACAGAAAGAAGTCACCATGGAGGTTTTCTTGAGCCTCTCTATTCTTAGAGAATCGCTCACTGCCTTTAATCCCATTCACTGTAACAGAACCACCAGTCAGTGAGCTGACTTTAGTGCCAAACCAAATAAGTAAATCTAATTAAAACCTACACTATGGTCTAAATGTGTCCAAAAGCTACACACATGTGTTAGTATTTATTCAACCACCTCCATGGTTGATGATGTTTATCTAAATCACATCATGTGATCTAATATGTGTGGTGTTTATATCAGAGCTTTGAGCACTTGTGTCGAATATTCAGTCGCTTAATAACGTCGAATCACTCTATGCTCCAAACTGAACTGTGAAGAGGGGGACTGGAGGTCTCAGTGAGCTAAAACTGTCATAGTCATAACTTTGATGAAGTCAGAGCAAGGCTTTCCATCTATAAGAACACTTTGACTTAAAGGTTGCAAACATTTTTTTAGATATGTAAAATCATGTCTGCACAATCCAAATAGCTAACACTGCAAATGAATAGTAAGGTTTTTCATGCTTTTATGGTTTAAAATCACTCTAACCAGCCTTTTGTTCAGTAGTGTATGTACCAGCAAGAAATCCCACCCCCCTGTTTTCCCAGAAGTGGGCAATAAGTGGCAATAATTACCCACATAATTCTTTGGCCACAGTAAAGCTGCTTTTTGTCCTGGAACAGTAATTTTGTGAGAAATTAGCACGTGTATCAAGTTTAATGGCTGTGATTAGTACTACATAAATTCCTCTCATTACTGAGGAAAACACCAGCAGCAACACACAATAACCTTCCCCACGGCGAATGAACACAAAACTGAACAAATTAAAGCTGCAGACCAGCGGTCGTCAACTGGTGGTCCCTGGGGCATTTACAGCCCAGGGGGCTGTTTTATCTGCAAATGATTAAATTATTAATGAGCTACAAACAACAAGATAAATGAAGCAACTGGTTTAGACAGCTACAAAACTGTCCTCTTTAGAACAAATTTAGTCAGAGTGGTCTCCGCACTCTCCGCTTGGAGATGATCTGGTCCTGGGGCAAATTTAGTCATTGATCTCTGCTGAAGATTACATTGGATATTCTGCTTCTGCATCAAAATACTGCTTAAATGCAACGAATCAAGATTTTTTTCAAGTCAAGTCATTGAAATCTGCTTCTAAGCAATTTGTTTCCTTCCATTGCACAGCTGCAAACATAAAATCAATTCCACAAACTGCACTGGGTCACTGATGTTCCTCCCGCAAGGCGTTCAGGGAAAATATGTTTATGGTGTTCCTTTTTAAAAACTGCAACAACAGCTTAAAAAAGAAACCCTGATGTCAGGCTGAATTAAAACAACACTGATTAGGATTAAAGGAGACCACCCTAACCAGTCAGATAAAAGTCCTTTTATTGGGAAAACCATTCACAACTTCAGATCAGATCAGTCTCTAACTGGTTTCCAGACATTTCAGCTTCCAATCCACAAAATGACAATAAAGTTTTTTTTTACCTCAAATTTTACCAATTTAGGTGAACAAATGTTGCAAATAAATAATATAACAAAATAAACTTATTAATATATAATACTATTGTTATTAATTTTTAAATTATTGTATTTATTCTCTGTAATAATTATGGTGAAAATGTACCATAAGAAAGCTTTCATTGCATTTATTATTATAAGTAGTAGCAGTGGTAATTGCTGTTGTTGTAGTAGTAGTAGTAGTAATAACAATAATTTTCATTTTAATTTGTAACACACTTTTCATTGGCAAAAATAATAAAATGCAAACTTCATTAGAATTGTAACGACCATCTGGAGACCCTCACATGCTGTTTTATGAACATGTGAGGACATTTTTGTTAGAACAGGCAAGCCAGTGGGGAAATAAATCTGACTTGCCACACGGTACAATATTAGTCATTCCCTCACCTGCATGTAGATCTTCTTCAAACCTGGAATGAGGTCGCCAATTTTCCCAAAAGCGAGGCGTCCCACCCCAGATGAAGCTCCGATGCAAACCAGCAGCACCCACTCCTTTTTAGTTTCTCCAAAACTATCTTTTACAAACTTCATCTGAAAAGCAAAACAACAGTTATATATGGCAAATTCAAAGTGTTTATTTTTGTATAACGTGACTTCTCCACACGATGTTACGATTAATGTCTTTTCAATATGTTTTCTGCTCCACACCTGTGAAACCAATGAACTCTGTGGTGGAAAGGAGGAACTGTTCATCCATAACATTAAATCAAGGGCTTCCAAAAACAACACGTCTTCATCAACAGACCTTCGGAGCAGCAGGACAGGAAGATCCAACACATATAGATCAGACTCTCCCACTCCCGTTAGCCACCACCCACTCGATCCAGACCCAAAACATAAGACCGCCCTCTGAAGTCTTTCCTGAGCCTCCTAGTTCTTGTGAATTATTTGCTCAGCTTTGAAGATATCCTCGTCTATCTATGGCCATAAGATAAGCATGTTTGGGGATTCAGAGAGGCCGTGCAGGAGAAGTTTCCTGAGGTGGTCGAGCAAAATACAAAGGCCGGGGCTGTGTTTACATCTGGGCTTGAGCCTGAAACAACAGGCCGGTCAGAGGGAGGCCCAGAGCTGGAACAGCTGACATCTGGATAGAGGGAAATCGACCTCACAGCTCAGTCTTCCAGATGTACTCTTCATCCTTACTCTTCACCGTCGCACTAGTGTCAGTTATATGTCAAGTGCACATTTTGTAAACTTCATTTTTTAAAATCCATAACTATTCCAAAAAGATGAAATGTGGATATGTTTGACGAAACAACTTCTTTCATCATTACATTATTAAAAATTAGTCATATTGGAAATTGAAAATTGACTTTTAAGATGATTTTATGAAATTAATATAAAACAATACATGTTAATACTAAGTAAATAATTGTTCAAATTATTGAGAGTTAACAAAAAATAATGGGTATAACAAACAAGTGAGACGTTCTTACCAGGTGGATATATGGCACAAAGTATCCCAACACGGCTGTTGCTACTCCAAAGGCCCACACCCGGTATGTCACAATGTGAAACACACGCAGGTTGAAGTACTTCCCAACCCTGGCCATAGCCTTGCTCCATTTACTCGTGCTCCCCGAGGCCTGGGTTCGGGCTTCAGCCGGACCAGGCCCCATGCCCGGCGGGCCCATGCCTCCCCCGGTGGGTAGCATAGGTTTGAACGTCAGCGCCAGCAGGGCTTGGATCAGCATGAAGACGCTGAGAACCTGGAAGGTTCCACTGAGACCCAGAGGTTTTTTCACCTGGTCCAGAAAGATCGGCAGGCCTATGGTGAAGAGGCTGGCCCCGGCCGTCACCACACCGTTGGCCAAGCCCAGGCGCTGCCGGAAGTAGTGCCCGAGGATCACCAACGAGGGCTGGAAGGCAAAGGAGGAGCCGCAACCAAACAATATCCCATATGTGAAGTAGCGAAGGATCAAGGACCTGCAGAAACATGTAAGACCACTTAATATACGGTTGTTTAATAGACCACGTTATTATTATTGACAAGTAACCTGGTGGTTCTCTTGGTGCTTTAATAATTCTGGAAAACCTCATTTTATCTTGTTAGTTTGTCGCGCTAACGCCAAGCTAATACATATAATGGAATATAGCGTTGGCGCTAAAGCTAACAGGCTAAGCTGAGGATCTTCTTCCATGAAGCAGCTCTGTTGTCCTCCATCCATATTTTCAGTTACAGGCTGAGTCATTTCTACTTTCTCTCTGTCAACGCTCTCTGGTTTCATTTAAAAGAGTCGATCATCAGATATTGTCCAAGATTAACCTTCAGGGTGGATATAGCTTGCTCACACCAAGGATCTATCCACGTCATCATTTACCCAGAATTCTTTGTGTGTAAATAAAATGGCTCCATTCGTGTTAAAATATATTTTCAAAAATTTTCAAAATTAAACAGCCTGCAGTATTTTACAGTCTTTATTTTACAGTTAAAATATGTTTATCAAATAGAGTGTAATGTTACAACTAATCATAGATCCCGTTTAACAATTACAGGTAAATTACTATTCGACTGAAATAAAGCACTTTCCTAATTATCAAATAAGTTAGTTGTTTAATTATTTTCAGCAGGTTCAATGAGTTTCGACTAAGAAACAGACATTTTTAAATGTTACAAAAATCGTAGCACACTTTTCTCACTCTGACTGAACTGTTATTTAAGGTTCTGAATATCTTTTGGGGAATATTTTTTTACATTATCCACTGTGGTCTTGCCCCTGCTTTGACTCATTAATTCAACCAGAATGAAACTATGTCTTTAAACTGAGTTTGTTGAAAGGACTCATCTACTATATATATANTATATATACAGTATATAGTAGCCTCTGTAACCTCACTTCACAACTATTGTTCAGACCTGTCTTAGCAGCATATTTTTCTCCTGTTTTGCTTCTTTTATCTTTATGTTCATTTTCCACTCATGGCCAAGAGAAAATGGATTTTCTAATACAAAACTACAATGACTTAACCTTGAATGTGATAACAAAGAAACTTTAACCGCAGCAATGTTTTTGTTGCAACTGTCTTTGCCAAAAGCCTCTTACTTTGCAAATGATGTACTGAGCAGTCCTACAAAAGCCACTGCCGCCCCACAGACGGCCGTCTTCCTACAGCCGAAGTGGTCAGTGAACATGCTGACCACGGGGGAGCAGAGGAAGATCATGCCCATGGCCAGGGACCCCACCCAGGCTGCAGAGAAGGTAAAAAAAAACCACAATTAGCAAAAAAGATCAAAGAAAAGAAAAGACATGTGGAAACCACTTGTGTTGTTGCAATCCCCCTAAAGTAAATAAGAAACGGTTTGTGTACAGAACAAAGATCAGAGCTGGATGGAAGAGGAGAAAACACTCTGCAATCAAATCATTCATATGCGGTCAAAATTTTTTTTCCTAATAGCTCCATAAAAAATTCAAACATTTGGTGTTTATAACACCTTATTTAAAACAAAGAGGGAACAAATTAAAATGGAAATTATGCCAAATTAATTATTTTTATTTTATTTTTACTTTTTTGCATGTGGCAGCCATTGCATAAAATAAAGACATTAGTGAGCCTTTATTTGCTCCTGTGTTCAAAACGTCATATCTGACCTACTTTTTCCTGTTTATTAGCCGTATTGCACGCGTCACTTGGGATCTTGGTGGAAGCAGTAGCTGGGGGTGGGGGGGCAATCCTCGTGTTGGGTCTCGCACTTCGGCTTGCAGGCAATACTTAACCCAGTCAGCAGGAATTCTTTACTGTCGTATAAATGTTAGGTTTCAAAAAGTTTGGAGAACAAATTTAAACAAACAATTCTTCAAAAAATTCATCTGATAAGTTCTGCTAACAACATAGATTTTGTAGTATGCAGTTCCTTAATTTGCCTTTACTAACAAAAACCCGAGCAGATACAGTCCATAATATTTCTAAATGTGATTGTTTTCTATTTCAGTGGGAAAGTGAGACTGAGGTTTGTAAATAATATAGTAAAGATAGGAAATTAAAAAAGGTAATAAGTGATTTTATTGGTAAATAAGTTTTCCTTAGTCTTGTTTTTTTTGTTCTCTATTGAGATTTTTATTTTAAAAAACTGCTCTGTACGGGGTTATATTAATTATGAATGATTAAATCAGATCAATTACCTCATATGATCACAATCCAAGTCTGACAAAAATAAATTAGGCACACAGCGTTTTTTCTGCGGGACAAAAGCAGAACAATAAGTAACATAACATGATGTTTTGGGAGCTCTTTTGGAGTATTCAAAGTGTTAAAGTACAACAAGCCCAAATGCTTCAGCAAGTCCACAGTGTACCCTGTAGGACAAACAAACATGCTTCAGTCTGGTCTCCAGGGGAGCAGAGGTAGCTTTCATGTTTCTGTGTTGTGGTGTCCTGGCTGTGGAACACAGCTCCAATGGTTTGACTGAAAATAGTGGCTGCTCTGATTTAACTCTTGGGACTCAACGTGCACACAATCGCACACCCTCTGACCGCAACATGAGCGCTCAACAAATCCACTGTTGTTGAGCTTGGCTAAATCTACAAATACAAATGCACATCTGCTCATCTGGGGGGTTAAACCGCTCCTGTGATGATTTACTGATCCAGGCTTCTTATGTAAACTATTTCCTGCCCACTTTGACTTTGTGTTCTGGATCATTTCCTTGCTGAAAGACAATGATGTAACCTGATTTTCTGCAGGCTGTTTAATATTTAAGACAGCTAATGATATCTTTCTTTGCAGAGCTGTTTAATGTAATAAGTAGGGGGGGGGGATCCCTAATAAAGATTAGAACCCAATACGTATGAAACTACTGGACTGCACAGACACCCTGATTGATTAAACACACCAACAATAAGTCAACAGCTCAGTTTTACAATAAAAGTGGTTTAGTGAAGCCACAGCCTACACTGTGTAATTTTATGAGCAGCAGCACTTCACAGTCACTGCTGGTTACAACAAACATATGGTTCTAAAGAGCTACCTAAAGTCACAGACATTTATGCAACAGCTTTTACAGCTTTTAATAGCATTTATGCAAAATCTGAATTATTAAGTCATTTGAATTACTACATAATACTAATATTATTTTAGCTTCTGCTAGTATTTTTTTTTTGTCTTTTGCCTTTTTGTCTGAAAAAAAGAGTACATATCAACAGGGATGGCTGGTATAAGTGAGCTAATATGGCAAAGCCCTCCCTGGTGTTTAAAATAAAAATGTAGAAATACCTAATAAACACAAATTCAAATTTTGTATCACATTTTGTAAAATTCAGAACAAAACGGGTGCCAAAAAATAGTCTCGAAACTCCCTGAGTCTTCTTAAAGAGCTAACTTTTCACGGCCCTGTTCATTTAATGTTTTTCGTGGTACAGAATAATTGACGGGTGTCTTGTCACGCCCCCTCAGTTTGATGCTCATTGGATAATTTTGTTCAAACCAAGCCCACAAGCTTTAGCCAATGAGGGTGGACGTACACTAAGTGTGAGGGAATGTGGGTGTGGTTAGCATAAACTGACCAGGTGATCAAAGTTAACATAAACGAGGCAGATTATTTAATGTCCCACCTGTTTTCCTTTATGGCATTGGAAGAAAAACTGAAAGTGAAGGAGGTTAGGGGCAAGTTGACCAAACGATATTCAAATCCAGCAAAAGGAAATGCTGCAAAACCAATGTTTATCTGTGACCTGGTTTCAGCTAAAGGACTGGCTAACAGCAAGTGTAGCTAACAAATCTCATTTTATTTGGAAGCTTCTGTTGTAAGAATCCAGTCTGCAGCGTTTTATTTTATATCTATATATTATATATCTATTAGCTCCCTGCATATCAGTCATCCTGAGGCATTCATTGTGATACCCGTCTCCATGTTGACTCCCACTGATAATCCTTTAAAAAAACAAAAAGATCAGAGTATCATGTTCTTGAATCTCAAACCAACAGCTCATTTTTTTGGTTTACTTTTGTCAACCCATTAGACTTCCAACACAACAACAACATCCCTTTCTGACATAAGCAAAGGTCTGGGAACAGAGTGCAGCGTTCTCATTAGAGGTCAAAACACTGAAACAAAAGGACAAGAATGCAGTCAGTTGGACAAGGAGCAAAAGGAAGAGGTGCGTGTCTGTGTGTGTGAAGTGTGTTTAACAAGCTTCCTTTTCTTTATGTTAAAATGCACGTCAACAACAAGTCCCTACAGTGCTCTTCCGCGAAACATCTTGCGACCATCGTGCTTTTCTGTCCTCTTTGTGGCGAGGTAAAAAATGTTTTTGTCGTGTCTTCTTAAAAGCAGTCTGACCGAACAATCTAAATGATTTTTGCATGTGCACAAATGTGACTTCTTTGATCCATGTAAACTAAGCTGACACACAGCTGTCTTTTCAAAAAATATATTTTACGTGCCAAACAAATCAACTTCTCATCTGCTGCGAAAGCGTCCAAACGGAGTCATTTATGCACCCAGTGATCTCTGATTCTTTTGGAAACGTGTTTGACTTTTAGGAATTGCAATGTCACTCCAGTGAGAAAAGAATCAAGCTCACAAAAGGCCCAAATATCTCTGCAATCGAGTGAGGTGCAGATTGTGTGTAGATTTAAAGATTAGAGTGTTATTTTCAGTTTGAATATAAACTAACAAGAATATAAGCTAAAAACAAGGTTTTCAAATGGTGCCGTTTAAAATGGTTTACTCCAGTAGTTTTTCCAGATACATGGAAATGCAATTCTGAAAAGCACACAATGTAAATGAAGCATTTTACCTGCATACCTTACTCAGCAAATCTGAGCATAAATACAAACAAAAGACTTTAAAACAGGCTCTTCTATGGATATTGTCATTGGCAAGCTATTTGCATTCTCTTCAACTACTTTTGTACGTAAAATATTTTAATGTTCACAAATTTTGCTTACAAATTTTTCATTTATGGACACAACAACCATCAATATGAGGAAGACAATGTGCAGATTTTAAACTCCTAATCATTATTTATGAAGCGTTTTGAACCCGCCTAAAATGAGCAACATTTTTATCTACTTGTTTTGTAAAGGAGAGCGTAATTTTTTTTTTTTTTTTACAGAAAACTGTTTGGAGTTTGTGGGTAATCCAGGGATAACACCACTGCTTTGTTCCAGGAAGGGGGAGATTGCTGCCGACTTTGTTTTGATTACACTGAGTTGTGCCAACACAACTTAATTCACACAAAAGCTACTGCGGGGCATATCAAACAATATTATCCACTTTAAACTCCTAATCACCTTTCATTTCAATCCCCAGTTGCCAAAACAATCATCATTGTCTAAACGCTCTCTGACAACACCGTTAGGAGCCAAGGCAGACTCAAGAGGAAAGTTTCTTTCCTTCAAGAAACAATGTACCGGATTGTTGTTGGCACTGTCCGGGGTTCTCACTGTAAAAGAAAACAATAGCCATACATGTTGTTGCCCCTAAGGAAACTAGGATTTACAGAGCTATAGGCTTGATATAGGAAGCAATTTCCTCTAGGCCCAACAAAAAGCCGATAGCAGGTGGCCAGGCTGGAACAATCGTGATTATATGACGCATGTTATTTCTATCAAAAAAACTGAATGTACTGAACAGTCCTGTTATTATTGGGGAAATCAAATTAAATTAGAAAAATCTTTTCAAAAATATATCGACCTTTTTTTTTTTTACAAAAAAAAACAGCCATTGTTAATGGTAGGGTGATTTTGAGCATAAAAGCTACAATTTGGAAATTACACTTTGACAGCTGCATATATATATATATNATATATATACTGTATATTGTCTGTTTTGTACTTAGTAACTTAAATTCTCCTCTTTGTGCTCCTTTACGTAGAAAATCCATTAGTGCCAAAAGTCTACTTTTCTTTGCATATTATAATGCATGCTCATATTTTCAGTTCATTTAATTATGTCGTAGACTTTTGTAAAGATGTCTGTATTTTCTAAACAACCTCAGGCTAGCTGATCCTCAGCGAAGCAGAAATGAGAGCAGCACACTGCAGCCACTTTTCACAAATAAACACCCGCACAAAGTTATGACCAATCACGACACTTGGAAGTGAAACCTGTGAAAAACTAGTTGAAACCTGTGAAAAATGAATTCTGTAGGTTCTGGGGGCAATGCTCAAGACGGGATCTAAGCCCGGGTTGCAAGAAGAAAAATATGCACGTTTTGTCACACAATCATGGCACATAACTTCTCACTTCTCATGGACTATAAGCCAGTTTTTATGTAATATTTCAAGATGTCACGCTCAGAGTGCGTGTTGGGGATGAAGTTGTGCCCAAATTCAGGGGCTGTATCTTTCGGAGGTTGATTTTGAAGGTCAATTATTTCACAGCGATGCACTGAAGACCGTCCAAATTCAAAGGCTCCTCTGATTGCGGTCCACAAATGCAGCCTACTTTTGCCCTGATTTGAGGGACGGGTCCAGTGTATCCTTCACAGCCCACGGAATAAAGCTGAAGGCTAGACCATCCAAATTCACAGCCACTCTCCTCTGGTCCGTCCCGTAAACAAAGGACCCGGGCCCATGTAGACCAGATAGGCAGGGTCCCTCGAAGGATGCAGCTCCTGAATTTGGACACAGCCATTATTATTTTTGTGTTGCTAGTAAGGATTAGCTGTTGTGGATAACTTACACTGAACATCCAAAAGTTAATCCGTTGTACATCTAATGAAGACTTTCTGAAGTTTTCATTAAAACTCTTCCATTGGTTTATGGAGAATGTTGGTACCAGGTAGATATACGCACACACACTCACACACACAAAAACAAACAAAATTATCACCTGTCTTTTAGTGGTGAGAAATGCAGCAGAGGTTTTTAGCTTTGTTGTGAACTGACAGAACAGCGATAGAATCGATACCAGTTCATGATTTTCCCAGTGTACTTTCTTGTTTTAGAACCAGTTCTGTCACTAACTGATCAACATCCAGATCATTGTATCAGGATGTGAAGTTATTGGAGGACTAGAAGTGTTGAGCAAAGCATTTAGGGAGCCATCTGTTACAGACGACTGAGGGAATATCTTATGACAGCCTCGGCTCACAAACCAGTTTGGACAGCAGGTATCTTTAGATGCTCCACAACTTGTTTTTCTTGTTGCCACACACAAACTACTCTGAAACTCTTTCTGGTGTACTGTTGACAGACCATTACGTACTCTGAGCTGTCAGTGCACACAAATGGCTGCTTCTTTAACTATTAGCGAACGCTTAACCTGTGTCAACCTTTGTCAGTCTGGTGTTTGTGTGTTTAAAAAATGTTAGTGTGCTACATATAGGATGTTTTTTTTTTTACATGTATTGGTTTCATTAAAGCATTAAAGACTAAAATGATGACACCACATAAGACATTTCCTATCTCTGATGTATTTTTATAATCATTTATCTTCCCTCCTACAAAAAAAGCAGCCATTTAAGGTTTTACAATTAACCTTTCTCCTCCAGCCTGAACAAAACTATTTTTCTTTTTCTCAAACTACATTAATGTAGCAAAAACCACACACGTCTGCTTATCTGCACGTATGTTATGTGTGTGTGGAGGCTCTCGAGTCTTTGATCCAAACTGAACCCATTCCCCCTGCCCTCTGGAATGCCAAAAATCTTACAGAGCCCTCAAATCTGCCAACTTGAGCTTCCAAGCTGCCCTGGAGATGCTACAAAGATCCTGGGCAGCGGAGACACGGAGAGGAACGGCGTGCCAGTGACTGGAGAAGTTCTCGCAGCGGCCAGGAAGCGCCTGAAGGCTTCTCCTGCTAAACAATCACCACTGTTTAAAAACTAAACAGATCACCTACTGCCTGTAACTTTTGTTATTTAGACACTTCCTCCAGACTCTTCTTCTGAACTGCCAACAAAAGGGTGTGTATTTGCACCCTTGGGGAGGTTAAAAAAATTTTTTTTGTGTGACTCGGTGCAAAATTTGAATATGCTTCTGGCAAAATGACTCATCTGCATTTCCTGACTACCTTACAGGAAATGATCAACTGTAAAATAAAAGCCAAAATACCTGTGTGACATGGCTGCACCAAAAAAAAAAACAACAACAAAAAAAAAAAACGCAACAGGGTTTATAGTGCAAGTGATGCCGTGCAAAAACTTTTAATTTCATTTCGAGCAGACTTTAAAAGTTAAACTTTACCCAAACGCTAACAAAGGCCAGGCCAAAGAACACAGAGCAAGGCCGCGCAAAGACAACAGTGGTGTAATCATAATAATAACTAAATATTTGGAGCAGAAACTTAAGCAATTTGGGGAAAATTTCTCAATCGCTGACTTTTTTTTTCCTTTTGAGTTCACTGCTCCTGGATAATGGGCAAAACAACCTGATAATAATTATACTGACTGACTAAAGTACTGTATAATGAAGCCTGTCCTACACATTCTTTCCATCATTTTGATTTGTTTTGTCTCATTGCGATCCACCTCCTGCTCGATTTCACATCCTGCAGATGAAACCGATTTCACGCATAAATAAAAACTAAATTAATCCCTTGCTCGTGCGCTTGCCTTTTCTTCTGCCCCCTCCGCGCAGATTTCCTGATTTGCAAACTCGGCGTGCAGCTGACACAGTGAGCAGAGTTTTGAACTCGTCTCTGCCACATTCAGCCACCGCCGAGGAGTTCACTTCTCACGGATCATAAAAGCAGTATGGTTTTTTTTAATTATTATATTTACATACAAAAGTTAGGCCTCCCAAGATCTTGAGACATGTGGCAACATCAAGAATGATGCGGTGCCAAACAGAACAAAATAACACCATATGTGGCTTGCAAACCCACTCACCTTCCACACAATAAATTATTTTACTGTAAAAACAAAGACTGTTTTGATCTTCACCATAACACCCCTGAGGTACCTTTTTTTCTGTTTACTCCTGAAGGCTTATTAAACATCTGGTCGTTTCAACTCCTCTCTTCTTATGACCGCATTGCTCTTTTTAAATAATGAATCAGTAATGAAAGGATTTTTAATGAGAATTTAACTTTTACTAAGAAAGGTGCTCATAACTTTTTTTTTACCTTCATGTTTTATTGTCAATTAAAGCCTCAGCCTATTGACCTACTCCTCTTTACGTGCAAGTACAAGTAAAATAGTAAAATAGCTGCTGGAGATGAAATAAAGTCCAAAACATTTAATAAAAACAAGAAGAAAGAAAAAAAGAGGAGCTTGACAAGCACCTGCAAAACCTTTACGCAATGTGATGCTGCCAGTCCTAACAATTTACTACATTTAAAAAATTAATTACATGATCAAAAAGAAGTAAATATACATAAGCTCTCTCTCTCTCTCTCTCTCTCTCTCTCTCTCTCTCTCTCTCTCTCTCTCTCTCTCTTTCTACATTTTGTATAATAATCAGGTTAATCTCTTCCCACACACTGGCCTTAACCTTTGTGATTTTGGGACATGAACAATAAAATTACCCACTCCTGTTACTGAATGGGATGGGGAACAAAGCATGAAGGAAGGAAGCCCATCCCAAACAGGAGTTCCCATAACTGCTAATTTACTATAGTAGAACATATACCAAATAAAAATAAAAAAAACATGAAGACAAATGATCTGAACTTCTACTTGTGAAAAAGTGGAGAAGAAGAATAATCAGCTGTTGGTAACAGCAGTTTGTGACACATGGGGTCAATTCCTGAGAGTTAACTGTAACAAAATCTTTAGGGTTTTGTTATCTTTGATACTATATATCTTTTTTTTTTCAATTATTTTTATGCACAAAAAAGTTGCATGTCTTGTTTCGTACATAAGAACAGGATTTCTGCCACGTGTAATGTTCTCTAAGTTTTATCCCTGAAATCACCATTTGACAGAAATATTCATAAGTAGATAAAAAGCTATTTATAATCTAATTAGAGAAATTACATTCCTTTCTGTGAAAATGCAATGTGAGCGCTGAGTGCTGGAGGACTTTGCTGACATTTGCTCAAGAAGCTGACACTGAGTTATTGCTATCTATAAGCTGAATATACAGCAAAAGCAAATAAGCTAAAAGCAGCAAATTGTTAATAAAAGTCCAGAAGGCCAGCAGCAACATGATAGCTAGAAACTAAAAGTATCAAGGAGCTAACTAAAAGATAAAAGCAGCAGATTGCCAAATGCTAAAAGTGGCAGGACTGCAGCTAAAAGCTACAAGTGGCAGAATAGTGGCTAAAAGCTAAGAGTAATAAAGGATAACTAAAGCAGAGGAAGTGAGCTGAAGCAGATTTCAAACAGAACTGTTTTTGAAGAAGCCAAAGAAATAATTTCTATGGTGAAAATATTTGTACTTATTGGAAAAGTATAAAAGTTGCAAACACCAAAAGTTATAATTGCCTGAATGAAATTAGCATTTTGATATATGACTAAAATAGCACAAAGTTAGCAAAAGCTGACTGCAATAAACTTACAGAAAATAATAATAATAGTGATGCTGAATCTGCATTCACACATTTTATTGATGTAAATATGCTCAGTGCAACATTTCCTCCTTGAACTCTTAGATGAGACAAATAAACAAACTCCTGATATTAAAAAAAATCTGTTTCTCTGAGTCCCAGCTGCTGCAGCCCGGGTTGGTTTGACTACTCACCCACTTTAAACTGGGACGTGTGGTCGTACTCCTCCACCAGCATCATGTGCAAAATGCCAAAAGAGTTCTGAATCCCGAAGATGGACCCATTACACCAGGTGGCCGCGAAAACCACCAGCCAGCCCCAGCCCCCTTCGGGTGGGACGAATCCGGCTCCGTGGCCGGGCATCTTCACCTGGACCCCGGCTTCTTCTTCTTCTTCGTCTGCATCGGGAGAGACCTGGGAGAGGGGCGGCTTAGACCCGTCCTCGGTCAGCTGCACCGCGCCGTCTCCCCCCGCCGGCTTGCCGCTGAGTGGAGCATCTGTCGGCTCCATCGGAGGCTCTGAAGCCGGCTGCTGCTCCGTCCGGGACTCGTCGCCGGACGGCTGCGTTTGACTGTCTAACCCGTTGGTCCCCATGCTGACTGGTCCGGAGGAGAGCTTACTGCTGGCTTTTGATGTCCATGCGTGGGATTTGGGTCAGTGACAATAACAGATTTGATTGGCTATCTGTCAACTGCGCTGAATGGATGGATGGTCTTTTAACGGCGCACGAGCCTCCTACACGCTGCTGGAAGCCAAAGTCGGAACTTCGGAGAATGAAGCCCGGCTCCCAAACGCTGCATTTGTCGTTCCGGTTGGAGCTCTCGTCTTTCCAGGAATTCGCCGGCCAGAATCCTCCTTTTCGAACGCGAGTTCCCGGGAAACTACCTGTAAAGACTTAAACCGTTTATTCACTTGTGTTGGCTCCGCCGCCGCCGCGCTCGCTCGGTGCGTCCGCTCCGCCTCGACGCCCACAGCGTAGTCCTGTCACGCAGTCCGCACCGCCAGGTCCGCCACATCTCGCGGGCGGCGTATTAGCAAGAAATTATTTCCTGCTCCTCCTCCTCCTCCTCTTTCCCATGACATTATATCGCACAGTCCTCGTAGCGTACAGGTAGGCCTGTGTGTCTGTGTGTGTGTGTTCCACCCGAGGGCTGTGTCGTGTCCCAACTGTCAACACGGGTTTAGCCCGTCATTGAGCAGCTCGCCCCCGCCTCCCGCCTCCCCTCTACCCGGCGGCGGACAAACGATTGGAACCAATGGCGGAGCTCCGTTTGCTAGCTGTACGAGTTGGTACTTCGTGTCCTTTGACGGAAATACCCGAGTGTGCTAACGGCGCCGAACTGGGGTCGCTTCATGACGGGGGGTTATTTTTTCAGCACGACACCGGCAGACAAAAAAATAATAATAGTTTTAATAACATATTCTATTAATTTTGGCACATTTAGTTCTTGTTTTTTTTTTCAAAGCAGTGAGTAAATTTTTTTGTTAAATTTAAAGGTATTGTTTGCTTAGTAGTGTATACATGCAAGTTTACAAACCTAATATGTTTAGGAACAAAAATGCTTTTCAAAATAAAACATTTACTCCCAGGTCTCAATGGATTTCCTTTTAATTTTACACTATTTTATTTATATATGCTTTTATTGACAGCTTGAATGTCCTTGTTATATTAGTTTCAATATTAATTAATAACTTTGTTAATTTTACCAGAAGTTATCAGTTTATTTGGCACACACTTGCATATCAGTAAATCTGGCAAACAGTTAAACTGCACCGTTTAATATAAGTAAGGACAACTTATTTAATGATGATTTCATAATTTGAAAACGAGTAGGCTACGTTTTAATATATCTTGTGGAAATTAGACCATTTCAGTTCACATTGCTGTGAGCATTTTATGATTATTTTCTTTCTATAGAAAAGTGCTGTCAGATAACAGGATCAGCTGAATTCAGGATGGAATAATTCTCTCTTAAAACACGTAGGTCAGTCGCAGAGCCTTTGAAACAAAAGATGCTCTGTCCCTCCTCATTCATTCATTCATTCCTGTCAACAGAGGGGAGTGAGTGTCCAGGCATGCATCAAACCAAGTGGATTTCACACACGAGCACAGCTTTGGATCAGTGTGCATCAGAAACATGTCGCGTTTGTGCAGCAGAAACCCTGGGTTTCTAAAATGTCAGTCAAAAGCACAAAATTTTCCAAAAGTTTGTTTGCTTTTCATCAAATGATGGTGATTTACAAAAGGTCTTAGTTGTACTGAAATGATTCACGTCATATGCAAACACTCAATGACGTGCTGTTTTATTCAGATGACAACAATTTAATCCAGTAAATCACGTCAATGAGTAAAGTTTGTAGAGGATTTTATATGCAGTTGGCATTTCCACCTTAAACTCTCAAATACGCCTTCATGATCCTAGTTTTAAACTTTGCAACATTATAATAATGTAACTCTTTAATTAATATATTTGTGCTATTTTTTATTAGTAACTGTACACCAGCACGTTTGACTCTGTTTATTCATGTAATTAATCTCACTTTTACTGTTTGAACATTAATCACCTGCCTGACTGCTGCACCTTGTTACTTAAGTCTGTTCCTGTCTGCATCCTGAAACATAATCTGAGACATTTAGAGCTCAGTAACGTTTTTATCACGTCATATTTTGGCTCTAACTCTAATCAGTCTGCACAAAAAGCTGTCAAATTGGAATATTTTTGTTTTTTTTTTTCCTAACCAAGTCAGTAACTGATCCTTTAAGTGGTATTTCAGCCCAGTGGAGGTAAACACACGTGGTGTGTTGGAAGAAAGGTGGAATTCAGTATTTATGTAAAGAACAGATCTGATGAGCTGCATGGCTGCACAAAAGTATCCTGAAAATACATTTGGTTTTAAATAAATAAATAAATAAATAAATAAATAAATAGTTTGCATATATGTGTGAGGAAATCTGAATTTGATGTTATTTTGCCTCTAATTAAAAAAAATTGTTTAAATTGCAGATTAAATGCTTTTTAAAAAATCTTTAAAATATAAGAAATGTGTGTATTGTTCTATCTGCCTATTTATAAATTCACTAGCTGGAATTAGAAAATCACAAAATGGTTAAAACGACTGATAATGTTTCTGTTTTAAAAAGATTCATCTGGTCAAAACATCAATAACACGGATCAACCACTGGGAGGCGCTATAACCCCATGTGAGGCGTTAATCAGCACTAAAACAAATCTGGTCACATATTATCAATCAGAAATGACAGACAAACTGTCTTTTTGTATGTTACAACTTAAGTTAGTCTTTTTTTATTTTTTTTGCTACAGTTTAAAAAATACATTTTAAAAACAAAGACATGAAACAAAAGGGAAAATAAATCAAAATAATACTAATTTGCTTTGGTTTGATTTAATGCTGTTTAACTTCATCCTCAACAAAAACTCTGATTTCTTATCAACTTTTATTACAGTGCTGGTTATTTAAAATGTAATTTATATTAACTATTCAAAATAAATGAAAAGCCTTTTGTGAAGTAAAACTGAACAATATGAATCAAAAAGAAAAAAACAAGTCGGTCCTCTGGACGGGTTCTTCTTTAGTGAAACGTTTCATCTCTCCTCCGAGAGACTTCTTCAGTCTGATGAGTTTCAGGTGAACAATATGGAAGTTTTGAAAGATATAAAATAACCACTTGTATTTATTGTAAATACATAAAAGTTCACACCTATAGATGCTGGTGATAACACGCTACAGTACTGAATATTAAGCAGGTCATTAGTTGTCATAGTGAGAAATATGATCATGGAGATTTATTTTGGCCTTTTATGAATAAAACGTTGCAAATTCTTTATCTGATTCCAAATACTTTTGTCACAAATACCAAACTGGTCACATAACTCCAGAGAAATGTTGTAAAGTCAGAGACGACATGAAGTCGCTGCATCATCTCGAGCCTGTTTCCAATTAGCCTCTTGAGGATCCGGTGGGTTTTTGTAGCCACTCTGTCTCCACGGGGTCTTCAGGCTAAAATTAGCTGCTCACTTCACCACCAACAGTCTGGTTATAAAATAAAAAAAACACCCCAAGATTCTTTCTGAATGAAGCGGAGGTCAAAGGTGACTCAGATCCAGCCAGTGGCGGTGCTTTCCTTTTAAACACAAAAAATAGTTGAACTCCTCAGAGAGGTGTGGGCAGGAGGGGAATGAGGCCCACATGTTTCTCACTTTGATCAGTTCAGCTGGAGCTCCACTGAGTGTCTGAGTGATGAAGCTGTGAAGAAGAGGAAACCTCCGCTTTAAACGGGTCCAGTTTTATCGAACACAAATGAAGGTTTTGGTGAGGACTTCTGAAAAATCCCTGGCGAGTTTGTTGCCTTGGAGATCCGTGCAGGTTCACATGTCCAGCTTCTTGCTCAGACTTGTAGGACGGTGGGAGAGGAATCTGCTTCAGAAAGCAAATCATTATCTCGAGTCCTATGACTCACGCTTCCTTTATTCCTCTGGGACTTAAGAAGCGCAGCTGGACTAAAACTTGAACATATTGGCAAGGAAATAGAAAAAACATATTGAATAAACTCCCATAGTTTCAGTGACGATGCTTTCCTTTAACAGAGCTTTAAAACAGTGCACTGATACGTGGCTGCAGTGATACACTGATGTGTATCGTGGGTAAACCAATACACACGTCCTGTGTCATGCTTGGTTTCACCTGAAAGGTGAGTTCAGTCATTCGTCCGGGAATCACGAGTGTTACAGAACAAAACCCTTTAATAACACTATAACACTGTATTCTTTGTTTAACAATACTCACTGTGTGTTAAATTGCTCAACAAAGCATTAACAAATTGATCAAACGTGTCTCCATTTTTTCATCATAAAACAATTTAGTCTCATTTCACTCACACACACATGTTGTGTTAAAGTGTGTCTGCAGGCTTTTTATCCATATTGGTTTGTGTTTGTCTTAACAACAACACAAACATCCTCACAACTTTCTGCTGCCGTGTCTCTGCGTGCTTTTTTAGAAACCTCTTTTTTTAGCCCAGCCCATGCTAAAACGTCTTAATTTGGGGTGTGGATGCATTTAGAGTCTGGTAATAGAGTGTGTCATTCTTAACTGGATGATGACTGAGTTTCGGCTGTAGCAGCCTCATCCAAGCAAGTTAGCAAACAACCTGTTGGATCTTATCAGCTACAGAAGCTGAGAAGGGGGGCAGATTTGGAGCAGATGGCTGTCTGCTGTAGCCAAAATAAAATCGATAAAAAGTGGCGATAAGGTGCAATTGCAGGAATATTTCACAATCCTTCCATGGGGGTTTGTTGCAACACAACTGCAGCGATGCTTTGAAAGTGATGCTCTGAACTGGAGTTCGGTCATGAAGTAAAGTTTTGGGGAAGTTAAAGTGTGTGTTATTACAATTCATCCTGAGGGTGTCATCATGATTGATGGGTTGTTACTCTGAACTGAAAGATAAATATCTAACGTTAACCCAAACTGTATTACTACAGCACATGAACAGCCTCAGTTAACCTACAATTTATAGAATATATAATTAAACAGTCAGCAGTGGCCTACATCAACAGTAAAACATCATTAAATTAGTAAAAAGAGAAAGAAAGAAATGATGCTTGTGCCACTTTGTGTCTCATTACATGAATCAAAGGTAAAATTATTTATTGTCTTTGTCATGGATGCAGAGGTTGAAGCCAGGATTGTAGACAAACTCAGCGAGCTCAAAGAAAAACTTAAAGATTTAGTAAGGAAAAGCAAAAAGCTGGCATGACTTTAGATTTCTGAGGCAAAATGACAACTGAGAACAGGTGAGAGGGGCAGGAGCTGAGGAGCAGCTGACTCGGGAAGAGTAAACTGATGGTACATTAGGGGAGAAACAATATAAAAACTTTAAAAAATCACAATGACAAACAAAGGAAATAAATCTAAAAGGACACACAAATCTACCAGAAACAACCCAATAGACAGATCGTGACAGAGCTGTTACTCACAGATTTTGAAAAGCGTCACAAATATGATAAAATACTTGACGTGTTTCGGACATTTGTTTTGCAACGCTCCCACTTACACAGCAAAAATAATGATAAAGGTACAAAGTTAATTAAAACTCCTTGAACCTATCACCTGTGTTTTCATGCTCCACAGGGTATGAAATTAAATCAGTTTGGGAAAAATGATCAAAAAACTACTCAATAGTGCTCATGGAAATTTAACGATTTTGTTTTTCCCACCAAAAAAAAAACTTGAGCAACAAAAATATTTTCTGATGATTTCTGATTTTAAAAAAGTTTGTGACGAGAACAAAGTCGTGCGTTCCAGCTTTCAGCCATTCGATCAACTTTCACATTTTTCCTTTGGGTCGGTTTCCATGTTGATGAGATTTCAAAGATGGATTTTTTTTATTATTATTATTATTTTACAGACGAGTGGCACAGAAGGAAAACACCCACCGAGAACCGGGCGTGTGTCATCTAGCCCAAAGAAAGGAACATTAGGATGAATTTCACAACAATGGGATGAGGTTACACATCATCCAGGCGCCACCTTTTCTGAACACTAATCCAGGCTAAATGTGAAAGAATTCACTCCTCTTTACAAGAAATCAAAGAAAGTTTTATAGGAGCGTCTCATTGCACTCCCTCCAGTTCCATATTAACAACAAAGCATTTAGAATAGTTGAGTGTTTTTGTACATAAGTTACAAATTATTCACACGCTGTTTTACTGCTTTTTGAATTGCCTCTGTTTAGGAAAATAGAGTTTATGTTCAATGGAACTAAGGGGCTAGTCAGAACCCAGACTGGATCCATATGGATTGATGTAAAACAGTTCCAGTCTCCAAAGTTTCACAGGGGTTCAGTTAAACAGACCTTTCAGTTTAGCATTACATTATTGTTTATATGGAATTATAGTTGCAACAATGAGTAACAGTGAACGACACGGAGAACTTCCGAGGCATCTTGGGGGTCATGATTGAAAGGAAATTCCTATTTCTAACAAAACAACCAGGTAATCTGAGACGGCTTTAAAACTACAAAATCTGCGTTGGAACTGGATTAATTCAAATCACACTGATAAGATAAAAAACATAAAGAGCTAGACCAAACAGATCCATTTACGAAGCGGATATTGCCATCATAAAACAGCGCCGGTCTCAGAAATTTTACTCCAGTTCATGCAAATGTTAATATTTAAACCATAACACTGCCATCAAATTTTGGATTTCTTTTATTTTGGCAAAAAAAAATAGAAATATTATCAAAATGCTGCCAAACATGAACCCCCTCGTCTCTGCTGTATATTTATCTGTAAAAATCTCTATAATTCCCTGTAAACCTTGTGACTTAAAATGTGACGACAGTGTTAAGGTGTGTAAAAAATGTGCATAAACCTCAATAAAATATAGGAAATTGCAGTTACATTTTGTTTTAGCTGTGTTCAGAGGCGGAGCCAGAGGAGTGGCAACCTGATTAGCCACCCTGAGTGCCACCGCCAAATGATTGACAAGTGAAGTGGGGTTTGCATTTTAAGGATGAGCATACAATGAGATACAATTTTTTTGCTAGCTGAGCTCTTGGCTAACACCCCACCAGATTTCAGCTCAATAATACTAAAAACGGCAGAGTTGTAGCCATCTGAAATTAGCTTTGGCAGCCATCTTGGATTTTGTATTTGAAATCAAATTTTGTAAAAGATTGTTTCTTGGCTACTACTACTACGCTAATTTTCAGCTGTGTGTTTAAAAATGAGCATTAGAAGTCATCTTAGCTGGGACTGACAATCAATATGTTTTTTTTGGGGGGGGGGTAATTCTTCGCTACAATCACACACAAAATTCATTAATTTCATCTCAATATTTCTTATAAGAGCTAAATTAGAGCTGGTTGAATTTAGCTGTGGCGACCATCTTGAATTTTGAAATCCAGAGTGGTTTTATTTATTTGTATGTGGCCCCCTTAAAACCACCTTGGCCACCCGTGCCACCCCAAGCAAACGCATCTAGTTCCGCCCCTGTGCTCAGACTAATAGTTTGTTCATCATCCATTATGTCCTGATGCATCTCAGTAATCCAGGTAAAAAATCAAAAAGAAAAAAATTGTATAGGTCCTCTGGACGGGTTCTTCTCTAATGAAACGTTTCGTCTCTCCTCCAAGAGACTTCTTCAGTCTGAGAGTTTCAGGCAAAATTCAGGCTTTTAAGCCCTGCCTCCATGTGACTGATACTCACATCACATGGCTATCGTTGACACCTAATTAACACCTATTGTTAACAGGGGGTGGAGTGATACTGGCAATAGCAGCACTGTAGGAGGGGGACAACTGAAAACGGAGGCCTCCACCTCTGTTTAATGATGGACGGTCTTTCTTCACAAAAATGGCTTCTTTTACTCCTCTCTCACATGGAGGCAGGGCTTAAAAGCCTGAATTTTGCCTGAAACTCTCAGACTGAAGAAGTCTCTTGGAGGAGAGACTAAACGTTTCATTAGAGAATAACCCGTCCAGAAGACCTATACAATTTTTTTCTTTTTGATCATCCATTATCTTGTACCAACTTCTTCCTTTCAGGGTCACGAGGGTCACTGGTGCCCATATCCAGCAGTCACCGTGCAAGAGGTGGGCCTGGACAGGTCTCCAGTCCATCACAGGGACACATAGAGACAAATGAGATAAACGTTTCACGATCTCACCTGGGGACAGTAGAGTTACCAATTAGCCTAACAGTCATGTTTTTGGTCTGTGGGAGAAAACCCATGCAACCACAGAGAGAACACAAACTCTCCACAGAAAGGTCCTGGGCTGGGCAACAACTCCACCAACAGAGCCATGGTACCACCAAGTTTGCTCAGCAGTTCTGTCGAGTCTATCGGCAAAACTCTCAGAAAAATGATTGCTTTGATTTCATGTTTTTAGCACATTCTCTGTCCTTTCTCCAGCCTAAAAACTGAAGTTATAGCTATATACATGTAGCCTACTTTTACAAGTGCAGGTTGAATAAATCCTTTAAATCTGAAAGTTTGCTTCTTGCCTGGTACTTTTCCTCTCATTGGTACCACAGTTGCGGTTGAGAAAGGAAAAAAACAACATGCCCACTTAGCCAACTTTACCCATAAAAGGACTAAAAGAGAAAGCATCCATGTTTCATTCCTCTGCCACAATGGGGTCACCCAAGAGGTGGAGGGAGTCTATAATAAACATGCATGCATTCCTTACCCCCTACCCCCGAAAGCTCCTCATAAACACAGTGAAGTGACCCCATTTTTCCCCACAAAAAAAAACTAAACACTTGCAGAGAACGCGGGAAGCTGAGCTGTAAAAACAGCTGATCAAAAACAGGCATAAGCAGAGAAGTCAAACACAAACTGCAACAAGCACAAGCCTGCCTCCTGCTGCAGCTCAGAAAATTAATATGCTGAACAACACGCAGCCTCGTGGTAACACCCCTCACCCCACCGACTACAACCCACATTCACCCACAAATTCCAGACAACAACAACAAAAAAAAGCACTGAAAGTCTGGCTGAGAAAGAGTAGGCAGCATGAAAAAAATAAAAAAAAACCACTGAGCATGACAGAAAGCTGAGGAGGGAGATGCACTGAGGGGAGAGAAAAAAAAGAGGGGGTGTTGCTGAGGAGGAGGGAGTCTGAGAAACAGATTTAAAACAGTGAGAACTGCAGGCATTTGTGAGCACATGGAAACAGCAGCCAGAGCTGGAACAAAGAGCCGAAAGAGAGCACAAGAATCCATCAGCTTTACAGCGACACACAGGTACAGCTGAATATTTTTCACTACGTTTTTCACTCATCGTCATCATTGCTGCAACAGCTGCAAAACTACTTTCTGAAATTCTGTCATCACGAGCTGCTTTTAAAGGCACAAGATAATTTGTCTCTGGTTCAGAGTTCGTTTAAAAATCAGCTAGAGTCCAAACCAACATTTGCTCTTTCAGTTTTGGGCTCCCACAGAACTTGTTTGGTTTGCTGCCAGGAGAAAATGGGCGTGCTGTTCGGGGTCACCTCTCATAAAAATAAAACAACGCTTTCAGCACTCAGATTTATTTATCTTAGAGTGTTTACAGGATGGAAACTAGAATGTTGCACATGTTTACGTAGATTCGGAGCCATCTCTTTGCTGAAAAGTGTGGTGAGAAAAAAACAAAACCATTTGGGCTGTTTCTGATGTTGGACAGATTCCTTACAAATGTCCACATGGTTAAGGCTGGACATTGATAAAAGTGTCTTATATTTTTGTTTTAAGTATTTTCTTGTATTTAGTGATTTTATGTGGATCTCGAGTGTTAAGTTGCAGCAGTAACATTGATTAGCTGGGTTTTAAATATTTAAATCTATGGACGCAAAGGCATAACTTTAAGTCTACCATTGGTTGTGTTAGGGTCTCTATTTGTTTATTTATTTATTTATTGAATCACTTACTTTTGTAAAATTATTCAGGATATTTTGGGGTTAAAATACATTGTAATGCTTTTAGAGCAAATTGAATAATTTTATTGAGGGGGTTATATTGACTGAATCAAGTGGAGGTCATAACCCCCCCTAACCCCCCACACAAATTACACCCATGTATTAATGTCTAAAAGACATGAATAAAATGCAGATGTCATTACTGGGTTTGCTTGATTTATTTTATATTTTATACCTCTTGTTCCCAATGATGCAAACAGATTTAAAGCTGGTGTTAGTATCAGTATTTGTGCTGACGTAGAAAATTATTTTGTATTGTTATTACTGACCTTAGTGTATATTTATATGGGACACTTTCTCAAAAGAAACAGTGACAAGTAAGAATTTCCTTCCTCGGTCTTACAATGAATGACTCTAGACTAACTGTGTGAGTGATGTATGTGTTTGTGCTCGTTCCACAGAAATGGCCTCACTGCGCAGGAACTTAACCGCACTCCTCTTTTTGGTTTTGCCTCTCATCCACTCCCACCTCTCCGCTCACGCTGCCACCACCTCTCCAACCACAACTCGCCGACGGATCAAATTCATGACGATCGGGGGCTCGCCTGATGACTACACGGATGAGTATGACTACGACTACAGCGCTCCTCCCAAAGTGGTGGCCTACTCTCTGAAGACTCCCCTTCTGGCCAGCAGGCCTAAGCTGTGTCCGTATGACCCCTGCTCGGAGAGTCAGGCGCCCTGCGAGCGTCTCTCTGCCGACGTTGGGTGCCTCTGTCCTGGGAGGAGTGGAGGCGATGTGCCTCCCCGTGCGCCACGCATCCAAACGTTGCTGCCCGTCGCTGAAGGAGAGAACGTAGGGAAGGTGGAGGTACAGTGGTGTGCGCCATCTTCTGTGGTGTCTTCTTACAGGGTGGTTGTTGAGGGCAGAGCTGATGGCACGCTGGAGTTTGGGGGTGCTTCGCGGCGAGGTTTGATGGGATCTTTGGAGGCCGGGACGAAGGTGTGTGTGCAAGCTGTGAACGCCGCAGGAGAGAGCAGTCCCTCGGACTTCTCCTGCAAGAGGTATGACCACACGGACTCTTTCAACAATAAACTACTGATCTGGATCGTAGCTGGAGGAGTCGCCTTCCTCCTCGTCGTTATATTGGCTGTGATTCTCTGCAAATGTCACAAGCATCAAAAGGCAAAGCGACACCGGACTGAAGGGCTGAAGGAGACCTGTCCTACAGTCTGTGACACCGTCCACTACAATCCAGCCTTACAGAACAAACCACTTGGTCTCTCAGACAAAGAAACCTTTGCTTTACAAACAGAAAAAGTTGTTTAAACTGCTGTTTTGAGGAGTACTAACAAAACTTTGAAAATGTCGATTAACAGGTTATAACTACAGGTTCATTTGCTGGCAAATTAACTTCTGTAGACTTAATGTAGAGCTTTTTTATTTTTGTCCTATCTAATTTTAATTGTTCGTTTGAAATCATGGAGTTTATGTTTCTGACCTAAATGTTTAAAATAAAATTATTTTGATATAAAAAAGTGGATGTCCTGGGTTATTTCACTGCACACTTGACTGTCACATATAACTGCTTTTTGCCATATTCTATTATTAGACTAACTTGCACGTTATTTTTTTGTACTTTTGCCTTTCATCCCTTTGTAAATCTTTCTAAACAGCTGACTGGAGTCAGCAAAAATCCTCTTGGCGTTCGTTCTGGACAGAAAAGTAAGAATTTCATTGCTCAGGGAAGCATGTTTCATGTTGTGTGCATGAAAATAAGCACTTCGACGGTTTGGCAGTGAACATGAATAAACCTGCTTTTATTTTGAAAAGCCTCAAGCAACAATTTTTACTGTGATCTTATTGGCTCGCTGTCTGAGTCTCTCAGTCCGAGCCACGCCCACTCCCTGTACACAAGCCAATTATCTGTCAGGAGGCATTTAGATGGAAAAAAGTGTTTTCTCATGAGGAGAGATTAGTGTTGAAACTCACAGCTCCACTCAGGAACCAGGATGGAGCACACAGGTGAGTCCAAGACAAGTCACTCATTCGAACAGGTATAATTTAACTGGAGAGATGAAGACAGAAACATTGTGCATTTTATGTCATATCTAATAAATAGCTTGTATAATATTTTTGTAATCGTATATAATTTAGGTACATAATAGGTGTTTTGTAAACCTGTAACAGATTACATGGACAGTTTTACAGACCTAAATATGTATACAGTCCACTCATTTGTATCTGCATAAGTTTTAATCAGGAAGCGGTTCAGTGCACAGATCATCGTTTGTTATTTATATCTTATTTTTCATTGGTTGCATATTTCAGGTGGTCTTAGTCGTCTATATAAGGTCAAACCGGAAGCTGCCTGTGTCCATGAAAAATGCACATAACCATCACAAAACAAACCAACGTAAAAAATATTTACGACATTTGTAGCACCCTGTTTCATCAATGGCTGGTGTAGCTTCACACTCAGTTTACAGAAACACACACACACACACACACACACACACACACACAC